TAGCCAAAACTGTTTGGGACTCTCCCACTATCTTTAAGTAGTCTCTGACAGTGGATTTGGTGGTTCTGAGACAGCCTGCTTCTCTGTCCCTTTTAGCCCCACAATTCTATCTCCGTATCTCGGCTCTGAGATTGAGCCATCGACCACCTGCCTCTGATTGTGAAACTCCATCCCCAAGCAACCTCCACCTTCATCAAACAGTATCTCATGCCATGAGAGACTTGGCTAGACATTCAACCGCACACACAGAGGTTTCAAAACCATAAAATGTTATAGACTGGAAAACTGCTGAAATACACCTCTTCTGCCTGTAAAGCCAGTTCAAGCTCTCCAAGGTGCCCAGGCCAGCACAATTTCCCTCTACAGTGCTTCAGTCTTCTGTCACCCATAGCTGCTCGTATACTTGCTGGTCCTAAAGAATACTTTCTTCTGCCTTTGGTTGGCTCTTGTCAGCCAGTCTCACTTCACAAAGACCTCAGTTTTGGACTTAAAGGTTAACTGACCTGGTCTCAGTCTCCTATAAGGTTCAAAAATTTATTTACCCTCTTTGGAGAAAATCACTGCACTTGTGATTGATGATACCCATGGTATTTGTTAAAAAGGCACAAATGCTTTGCAATATCTGATAGAAAGTGATTACCCAAAAGTAGACCTCCTGAAAGATGCTGAGTACACCCTGTTGATGAGTGGAAATAGCTCTGTTAGGACAGGCTAGACATGTTGTGGTCACCTTGGACAAAGTTATTTTGGTCGAAGTCTCCTGCTACTGCTTCTTGCTGCTGTTTGGAAACCAACAGATATGGAACCAGACCTTCCCTCATCATATGTTCTACAAACTCAAGCTGCAGGGCTGGCACTCAGACCCCTGCAGCCAGCTCAAGCTTCAGCATCTGTATCACTGACCTTGACCTCATGCAATATAATGGATTACACAGAAATAAAACATAAACCTACAGAAAGTGCTTGTAACCTGTTCCACAAAAATTTAGCTAGATTAGATATACCTGTAGGCACTTCTGCACACAAATATAACCCAGGTATATATTAACTATCTTTACAAGTTTCAGAAATCAAGCCTTAGCCACTGGAAAATTTACCTGGACCACGCAGCTCACTCTGAAGAGATTTGCACTAAAAGCCCTGCTCTGGTCACTCTGGATGCTGACAAGTCTATGTATGGCTGAAACCTGAGGACACTGTTCACAGGATTGCTCTGTACCTATTCCCTTTGATCTTTGAGTCTTTTTAGGCTGATTACCCAATCCTTGCTTCCTCACCCCTGTTAGACATAGTTTATAGACTATTGTTCTCCCAAAATAAAACTATCAATCAAATACTTGACCAAGATTTGATGAGCATTCAAGACACGTAGGATATTCTCCTACATCAGATTAACTCCTTCACTGCTCTGTCAGAGTTACCTTAGGGGAAACCCTACAATGAAGGAAACCAACCAGAAGGTGCTGGTGAAAAAAATTTCAGTCTTGGGGAACTTGACTAGGACCCATCCTAAGATTGCTACCAGCCCTAACATTACTGCTTCTATTCCGGCCTTGTTTCCAAAGAACACATGGAATATACCCAGTAAAGATTTGAGGGGGAAACTAAGGTAGGAAATGTAACAGAAATCCCCCACCCAGTGTCCCCCCAGTGTACTTCAGCTTCTGAGGTGCCCAGGTAACTGTTCCAGTTCCAGTTGCTTCTGGTCTCTTAGAAAAGGCTAGTCACTGAGATACATGCTGTATAAACCAATCCCCAACTGACAAGCCATTCTGCCTCTGTACTTCCTGCTCACTTATTCTCTTTTAAGCCCTAGACCACCAGAGATGAGGGCTTGATGTTTTGACAATGATCCCAATCAGTATCTGTCATCATAATTAAATCTGCCTCCAAATCTTGGGTGTTGTTTCTACTTGCCACTGCAAGGGGTCCAAGCTCATTGATAGAACTTGTCAGTTTAGTTGGTTTTCCACTGACAATCTACTTGTTTACTTGTGGTCAGTAATGTTTTACAATTCTCCTCAAATTCACTAACTTTAAACACGCCTCTTTGTGGCTCTAGGCTTCTACTTTCCCTTACTTGGAGCATTTACTTTAGAAAACTTTTAAGTGCTTCTTTTGCCTGTTTCAGATAATTGCTTCTTTGACATGTAAAAAAAAATTTAAAGGTCTTGCTAATTTTTTCAACAGGGAGTCCTTTCTCCAGAATCTTGTAACTATCTGTGTGAAAGGTAATCTTCAAGGAAGACAGTGTGTCTTATCTTTCAGTTCTTCAGAAGTTAGTAGTCTAATACTTGTGGGTGCCCTGTGGTAACCTTATTCTCTTTCCTGCATAAAGGTAGAAGTGAGCTTGTGTTTCTTGGCTAATCAGCAAACAGATGATCTATGACCCAGCACTCCCTTGTAGCTCTTAAAAACTCTCCAGTCCTTTTTCAGCTCACATGAGCTTCTGCCCTTTCTCCTCTGGCAGTATACTTGAATAAAGTCTCTTTTTGTATGACTAACTTTGTCCACTGTGATTTTTGCTTTGCTCCTTTTATGTAAGGCTAGAATAATGTTAATAACATTTTAAGCATTGATTTACAATACAGAGTTTTATCTTTTAGAAAGACAAATTGTTTCTGAACCAGCATCACAATACCAGCAGATTGTGTGGTAAAGTATAAGGAGTAGTCCAGGACAAGAGATGACTGGTAAATTCAGATTTAATGTTAGATTGTCTCACTTAGCTTGTAATATTTTGCTCCTTCACTTCTACTAAAGAGCTATGGCTGTTTATCTGAGAAAATCCTTTCTCACAGTTGGATGATCATTAACAAGTTTTGAAAAATTCCTCTCATTTTAGTGGACTTAGTTTCTTCAATAGTGATGTTTGAGATTTATTTGATGCTATATGTATGAATTCACTTTGACATGAGTGGAGCCATCTTGAAATGTAACCACCATGAGCACATCGGAGTAACCCTAGTCTACTTTTACTGCATAGTTTCCCAAAAAGATACAAATAGACAAAAATCATTAAAATTGTATATAGAGCTTTACATTAGTGTCCAGGAACCAGAAATATGCGGACTCTGATATTAGCTTAAGATAATTCAAGAACATTCCAGCTAGGATGGAGTCACTTTTGACCATTATTGATGGCTTTCCTTCTCACCCAGATCATGGGGATTCATTTGGTTGTGGTGCCACCCAGGACACGCTTCAGTCAGTAAGTGCTCCTATCAATTGCCTGCAGGGTAATCCTGAGTCTGTCTGTCTTCAGTTTCATAGCAGCTTGTCACCAGTTCTCATCCACCGGGGCCCAACTCTTCGGGAACACTGTATTCTTGGAAAACAGCCAAGAACAAGAAACATCCTTACCTTTTTGCATCTTAGAAACTACAAAGATCCATCCTTTCCTACATTACTTAAAAGAAGCCTGCTGGAAAGCCTTGTTTACAAACTCTGTGGCAAGAACAGGTACAGATCCTCTGACTTGCTATTCTTTATCCCAGAAATTACCAGCTGCACTCTGTCCTCTCTGATAAATCTGACATTCGATAACTTGAGCATACCTGAGTCAAGTTTTTTGTTTTCTTCCCAGGTTTCTGAACTTTGAATCATTCTTCAGTTTAAACAAGTACCTGGGCTTGAATCAAGTACTGGAAGGTAAAATCAGCTACCCTGACATCCTTCTCAGAAATAGCTAATCACAAAGAAAGGCTCCCTGATCACACCACCACACCCTGCCTCACACACCTGGCTCTTCTAGTCTTCTTAATCTTCTACATCAAAGAAAAGCACTTTCTACCCAACGTCTGAGACACTTTTCTATCTCACAGCTGAAGCGTTCTCCCTTTGAAAGTAGCTCCCCGCTTATTATAATAGTCTTTCCACATGAAGATGCTCCTTCTCTAAGTATGGATTTGCTATTTGCTTGACATCTGGAGATGACTGCCATCTTCATTGATTGCCAAGGTTTCTCCCATTCCTGTGGTCTAGAGATCCTGGACCTGAATTTCTTTTCTGGTTAACCTCCATAGTTAGCAGTCTGAATATGGAGGCATCTCAAGGACAAGATGATTTTCTGTCACCACAGAAAACTTCATGTAGACTGACAAGCTAAGGACATTGTAGCTTTGTGTTTTTCAGCGAAGTGTGAGAAATCTGAAGAATTTAATTAACTGATGTTGATATGGATAATTCTAGAAAACTAAAGTTGGATAAAAATTCTCTTAAGAAACTGGGATAATTCAGATCCAACTAACTCAACTTTCTGACGCAAGGCTTTATTAACTGTGACTTTTCTTGTCATGACTACATGTTACGGAAAGGCTAAGCAAAATTTGAAAATTGAAGTTGGCTGGTTTTTTGAGCTCTTGTTGCCTGTGTACTATTAATAACAAAACAAGTGACATATTCTTTGCATCTAAAGCAAAAACAGATCATATACTGGACTATTGAACCAAGTCTTCTTGGAGTCACCTAGTATTTGTGACCCGTCACCCTTGCCCACCACAGTTAATTATTGCACTCACCACTCCCTGACAGTGTTTTTGGTTTTATGCCTGAAAACATCTCTATGGAACATTTGAAATTTGACCTGGGGACTCAATAATATAGAGGGGATGAGTGAAACCCCTCCTCCCCGTGGTGTCATGGGAAGGGCCCCAGACAGGAGTCAGGAGGCCTACATTCTAACATTAGGTCTGTCATTTACTTATCTTCAGTAGCTCATTTAGGTTCTTCTGAGTCTCCAGTTTTTTAAGATAATTAATTCCTACCTTACTGTAAATCTTAAGGGCCAAAAGAGATAATATATGGTAATAAGCATTTAGTAATATTCAAATAATGTTACTTGTTCACATATATGTTCTATCTCTAACAGATTATGAGTACTTAGAGGTTGGATAGTGCCCTAACTCCCTAACATACGAGTAAACACGTGGTAATTGTTCAGTGAATGCTTTTCAGTGTTTCACTAGACATGAATGACTGTAAACAAAAAAATCCACAAATAATTCAACAAACATTTATTGTGCGAACATAATCGTGCTAAGTCCCTTAAGAATACAAAAGACATGAATTCTGCCCTCCAGGCTCTTACAGTCCACCAGAGGATAAGAGAAATGTGTATAAGTTCCAAGATAGATTTGAAATGCCCTCAGGGTGGTACAGAGCAGGGTGGAAAAGTTCACAGGAAGATTCACTTTAGCTTGAGAATTATGGAAATTTTCTTGAAGAGGAAATTTTGAGTTGAACTTTACAGCATGGAACTTAGACATAAAGGCAGTGAAAGAACTTCTAGTCCCAGGGCAAAAATAACTTGACAGATTGGTAGTTCAGCAGGCTAAGAAAGGAACCGTGCAGGAATGCAGGGCTGCCAGACAGCCCCCCATCAAAGGAGGCGGCTGCAACCCCCATTTAGGAGAGGGCACATGAGGCAGTGTGCTGTGAACGTTTAAAAGGAGCAGACTAAAAGTGGGATTCCTTAAAATCATGATTCCCGGGTACTTACCCATATGCATGTTTTTCTTCTGGACTAACACATGAAACCTGGAAGCCCACCACAGTCACAACTGGGCATCTCTTTTGTAGTAACTCAGACTCCTGCCCTGACATTTTTATGTATTCAGTTTCTCATTAGCTTTCACATATTAATGTAATATTCAGTTACCAGAACTAAAGAAAAATCAAAGTGAAAAATGTAATTTTATGGCAGTGAATATTTAAGAGATACTAGAGATAATGAATTATAAAAAATGTACTTACAAATGTATGTTATAAAAATGTACTTAATTTATGTTTTCAAATGTATGTTTAGTGTGTTTTTTCACAAGATTTTATAACCTGGAATAGGTGACCACATGGTCTGTATTCACAGCTATAGATAGAGCTGAACAGTATGGAGTTAAATATTTATATACATAGACACACACACACACATGTATATACAAAGATACATATGTGTGCATTTTTAATTCATGTATCTATAAATTTATCACATATTATTCCTATCGCCAGAAATTCATATTATAAATTCAATAAGCTGTACAATTACATTGTAATTAACATGAAGTTCATTTTATTGAAAAATCATTCTTTACTCATGTTATAGTCTTTGCATAATGGCATCATTTTCATTTTTAAAATCTGATTGAAAATATACTTTGAACATTTTGACGCTGAGCACATTATAGGTATCCAACAGGAGTTTAGCCTGAGCTCTGTGCTGTTTAAGGCTCGGCTAAGGGATGCCCTGCAGTGTGGAAGCACCAATGTCCTCAGCCTCTGTGCCTGGCCCCCGAGAGCCTCACAGGGTCAGACAGCCCCCAGGAGACCATACAGCTCAAGGTTGAGTCAGCTGGCTCCACGGAGAGTCTAGGACCTTTGAGGGCTGTCCATCTGCACTCCCTTCCCGTACTTGTCTCAGTGCAACACGCGATCTCCAGCCCTTGAAAGGACCAGGAAGTTGCTGGAACCCTCCCCACTGCATTTTTCTTTACTGTGTACCTGAGGTAGGGTGACAGCATGCCAGAGTGGCTTCGATGTGAGAGAGGACACTAGGGAGTGTGTGTGGTGGGGTCACCTCAGGTTCCCCACTTTTGAATGAGGACACTTTTATTCTATCAAGCACAGTCACTCTCCCCCTTCAGCTACACGATATCACACATGGTTTATTTAAATCCTGAATAAGTTCATTTTTTATGTCATGAAGCACTGTAGTTTGAATAGTTTCTTCTCTTCTCTGGAACATGCAGCAAACTTAATGCCTTAACACATTTTTCCTGTATTATTTCCTGCGTGACAGCTTGCTGTTTGCTGCTAGTTATCTTTGCCTCAAGATAGAAGAAAAAACATAATGTTTATGTAAGAGTACTGTGGCCGTAGATTTCTGACAAGCCCCATTTGCATGGCATGTTGTTCCAGAGCGTTAAGTAGAAAATACAGAAGCCCTATACAAACCTATTATTACATTTGAGAAATCATTAGCCTCAAAGAGTAATAACAGTATGCTATTAAAACTGTGAATACATTTTCAGTATCTGAATTGAAAAAAACTTTATAAATATGTAAATTTCTGCTCAACAAATCCAAAATAAAATGCACTAAAAAACTGATATGTAGACAAAAGTTTATTTACACCATACAACATTTTAAATATTTTATACACAGCTGCAGCAGAGAAAGCTACTCAGAGCTTTCTAGAGAAAACTGCCAATAATAAAGATGTGAAATATATTATTCATATAAAAGTGAGATTATTACTTTATTGCATTTAAAGCAATGAAGAATGTAGCTCAACAAACATTCATTTAATGACAAAAACTTTGCTTTTATATTATAAAGTAAAAAGTGTAGTAATGGCCAAACAGACTGTTATAAACTTTAAAAACTGCATAAATATATACATTGTGCTTCATGGTGAAGTTTTCTGAAAACTAAACCATATGAAGCGGTTACAACATGAATCGTTGCTTGAGGTTTATCTATAAAGATTACCTTACAAATCCATTCCACGGGTACTTACAACACAGGATGGTCAGAACTGTACACCTGCCGTCTCTGTGCTAGCAAGACTAGCGAGACGTCACCAGACAGAAACACCATTGATGTTTGGCACGTGGAGGTCCTGACTCAGGCCAGTCACACTGTCCAGATAGTCATGGCAGGCAGCCTGAGTCTCACACATCTATGCGTTAAAATGTCGTGTCTTCACCTCAGCTCATTTTTATCTTCTTAAACTTCTGTTTGAAAGTCACCCTCTTGCACATCCAAAGGCAAATTCAGACACTTTTCCCATTCGGCCGGCCTCAGTTCCAAGGCATCCTTTGCCTCTGTGTCTAAGACATTGATTGTAGTGTAATGTTGGTACTCACTGGGGGCTTTGAAAGTGTCCCATGGATTCTTGTTTGGTGTTGGGTTTTCCTGGAGGAAGGAGAGAAAGACAGTTACACACTCGATGATAAGTGAGTGCTGCTACTTGTTAAGCCTTCTGGAAGGAGGGTGTTTGTATCCCTAACTCAAGTTTATATGCTTCAGAGATGATGTGAAATTGTGTCCAGCTGCAGGAGATCGTTTTAAGTTTTCTTCCATCAGCTGACTGATGAATATCTTCTCTGAGTCATGCCGCAATTTTGCAGGAGCAAGGAAGAGAGTGGCACCATGAAAGGCAAAGTGGATGTCATTTTACCTTGGGTATCAAGTGAAATGTCACTGTGCCTGTGTGTTCAGGCAACAAGAAGGGTTAAGTCGCTGATAAGATTAAAAGTAGTAAACTATGTGTTGTGGCAGGATCCTTGGTGATAAACAAATGTGAGGCTATTTAGTGAGACATATAGTCTGATGATCAGAAAACTGCTCGACCTAGAAGTATCATAAAAAATTTTTAACTCACTGCCTTCGCCTGGGTTTTCTCAAGGCTTATCCTTTTAGGAACACTTGACATTCTATTGTTTTGTTATTTTTCTTTTTCTGTTCTTCTCTTTCTTTTTCTTTCCCTTTCTCTTTCTTTTCTTTTCTTTCTTTTTTTCTTTTTTTTTTTTTTTTTTTTTGCTTCTTTTCTTTTCCTGTACATTCTCTACAATTTTCTGCATAGGAATATGGCATTCTAACTTAGCAAAATACATTCTTCCCATTAAACACCACAGCTTTCTGGAAACATAAGCAATGCAAAGGTGCCTTCCAAAATGCCTAGTTACCACTCCCCTGATGACACCAATAATACATATCCCCTCATTATCCAAGATTCAAGATTTGCCTGGTTATGATTTCACTAAGAGCCGGAATCTTCTAAATGCTCAAAAAATGTGTGAGTAATATCCTGTTGAGGCTTTTGCATCTGATATTTTGTAAGATTTAGCAATGGACATATATACATACATCGTGTGTGTGTGTGTGTGTGTGTGTGTGTGTGTGTGTATGAGATTTTGGGAACTGACCTTCATACTGAGCTGCATTCTGGTTCTTATTTATTTATTTGTTTAATTTTGAGTCAGTCTCGCTAAGTCTCACTAAGTTGCCCAGGTTAGGGAAGAATTTGTGATCCTCCCAGTCCCCCAGAGTGCTGGGATTCCACGAATGTGTCATAGCAACTTTTCTTGTTTTTTGACTTCTACACAGCAGAAGAATTTGAATGGGTTAAAATAAACTGGGTACCATTAAAGAATAAGAAGTAAGGCATGTCTGAAAGTTCCTTAGGAAAAAATGTTAAACTAAAATGTGAATACAAAAGTGAGTAATCTGATGAATATTAAACTGTGTGCTGATTAAAAACTGAATTTATGTATTATTGCAAGAGAAAATGCCAAGTAAAAGCTGTCACTTTTTACACTAGCTCAGTTTTAATTCAGTACAGAGATTCACTGGAATTAATAATCTGTCACAAAATGACAGTTTAACTTTGCTTCATTAAAAATTTTATACTTTTAATTTTATCCCAACAAACTGATGAAGCCTTAAAGAAGTTTTACTCTTTGAAAACACTACCTTTCAACTTCTACTAGCCTTTGATTTCTACTCAAGAATCTTAAAATGGTTCAAAAATCTAACATTCCAACAGTATTCTCATTTTTCACAATAGAAAGTTATATTTAACAAGGATACAATAGCTATTGAATGTCTCTTCTCTCTCTCCAAATCTATCTTTCAACTGATTATAATATATTATCAAGTAAAATAAGATAGCTACTTAAATTAGCATCTAGAGTCCACTCAGTATATTAAACACGATCTCAGGCTCTTGGTTATAGAAATGGTTAATAGAAATATTTAGCCACAACTAGCATGCAAATCACTAAAATCTTCAGCACATTAGTTGTTTTCAGGTTTTTTATTCCTACCATGAGGTCAAAGAAGAAATAGCCCGCAGTAAAGATACAATAAAAGTTGTTTTTTAGGATACGCTCATGGAATTAATGCTGCCTTAGTGTAAGATCCTAAAATCTCATGAACTACAGTCTTGTCATCACCCCGTCCCCACTCTTTCTCCCCCCACCGTGACTCCCTTCAACTATTATTGCTGTTCTGTGCTGGGCATCGTATTAGGAACTAGAAGGGATAAAGCAGTAAGTCACTTGTAGAAAGGCAACTGACCTTACTAGGAAAGTCAAGATTTAAAGCCTGATACCTGTAGATGCAAACTCTAGCTCCTCCACGTCATAGGAATGTGACTGTAAATAATTTACTCAATTTCTCTGAACTTCAACTTGAATATCTGCAAACAGTAGTATGCTTTGTATTGTGTGGCAAAGGAACTGGCAAAATGCATGGATTAAGACCTGTTTTGCAAAGCTGCAAAGATTATCAAAGAGTAAAGGGTCACAGAATAATATCTGGAGAATCCTGTAAAGGTTCACTATCTAGTAATCATACTTAGAATAGAAGGTATTTATTGTGAAATGCAAACGTAAGAGACACACTTATAACTAAGTTCCAGAAAAATGGGTCATTACGGGAGCTCAGAGGAGGAGAGAGAGACGGTCTCTTTTATGGCAAGTGCATAATCCTTTCTTGGAAAGGTGACATTTGGCTTGGCATAGAAGGACAGATTTAGCCACAAAGCAGCATGTGTGGCAGGAGGTCTCGTGGCTGAATAGTCACACTAGTCCATTGAAAAACCCCAAGAGTGGAGATGGGGACGCACTGAGAATAGTGACTTGTCTACTTTAGTTGGTATGAAAAAGAATACCAACAAACAAACAGAAAACAAAGAGAAGGTGAACTGACAGGCTGATTATAAAGGGTTCTGAATAGAATTTGGAATTTATTTTGTAAGGAAGCGGGACTTGTTGAAGGTTTGGAGCATAAGAGTGACTTGACTCATCAATCGTCAGCTGAAAGGCTCATTGGTTCCAATTCTGCTAGGACAAGTCACGGCGCAGACTTGGCCTGTCTTAGACGAGAGCTTCCAGGTGTAGGTGGACAGAAAGAGAAATTAGCTCAACCCTGAAAGGATCCATGGTATGTGGAGTACTAGTTCATCTGCTTGAAAAATACGGGATCTTTGAAAATTTTGGGGCCTGGAGCAGATATGATTTCCCTTTATTTTATATTTTGAAGACAGAACATCACAGATACATAAATGAAGTGATTAGTTCTAAGCCTTGTCTAAATATGTAGAGTCTAATTCCAACGAGCATTATTGTCAACCCATGACTTTTGGAAAGGTTTTTTCCGTGAGAGAGAAACTAGTTTATAAGGAACCACTGATTTGGCACACAGAGCTGCAGAGGCCAGGAAAGACTCCAGTGGACAGCGGAATCTAATGCCAGAAAATTCAGTGACAGCATAAGGTTTTCTGGATTGCTGTTCAAGCCCAAATACAGAGCAGAGGAGTTGTAGTTAAACTGAAGACTGTGTAAAAAGCCTAGAAATTATCAATTCACTCTAAGACAATGTGCACTTTCAAAAGCGCTCATCTGGTCTGAGAATGTATCAGTGGTAAGTTCTGAGGCGCCCATAAAATGGCAGCCTGCCTCGGCCTTTCCCAAGTTCCTGGGTCCGGGAGGCGCCAGCTGTGCCCCTCAGCTTACCACTCTTTCTGTTGCAGTGTTTCTCTTTCTTCTTCATCCTTTTCTGTCTTACTACTTGCATTTCTTCTGCATCCCTTCCTCCTTTCCTTCTTTTCCTTTCTTCTTCTAACTTACCAATATTAGCAATAAACCAAAAGAAAGTGTGTGCATTTTAGAAAGCTAGAATTCAGAGGTGAAACAGTTTCTTCTTGCATATCATTTAACAGTGCTAATTATCTTCTAGTGTGATGTAAGTGTTTTCCTGCTTAGAAGAAGGAAAATGCACTAAATGGTATTTTGGTTTTCCTTTGATTATCCACATTCTTTTATTTTATATAATTACCATCATCAAATATTATGAATTAGCAGACCCCTGCACTAAAAAGGAAAATACTATGAGTTATTTTAAATGTCTTTCTCCATTCAATTAGGCAATTTTTCATTAACAATGTGGCGCTACAAATTATGTGGCTGAATTAATGATAATGAACTCACATATCATTATTAATCAAAATGGAAGAAGATAATTCTGACTTTTTTCCTGTTCTGAGATATTCAGGACAACAGTCAAATAGCAATGGCAACTCTATCCTCTCTACTCTTAACCTTCCAAGATGGTAAATATTTATTAAATCTCTTCTAGAAAAGGCATGCTACCACAGAGACATAGTGTAATTAGTAGACTAGTTTGGTTGTCAGGAAACTGAGACAGATATTTGTGCCATTAATGATTTAATACCCAGACTTACAAAAAGAGGAAATTACAATCATATTATAGCAGTCAGTCAGCTGTAGCTCTTGCATAGCCTTTTAGATTTGTAAACAAAGCCTCTCCGTTTAAAAAATGTAGTTTTTTCAATTTATTTCAAAGCTAGCATTCAGTATTCTAAACTGAGTAGCTAATGTGTTTAGGCCTAATCTCAGTGGTATAATTCTCATTTGCCTGCTAGCTAAAATTGATGGCTTAATGTTAGGTGAAGTAGATGAGAAAGAAGCACTTATTATGCATGATGTGTCTGGTACATGCTTAGGCATGGTGTGGGAAAGCAAATAATGCATGAGTCCTGCTTTCAGGAGAAAAATAGATTGATATATTCATGAACTATTTAGAGACCAATTAAGAGTTAAAGTGTAGAGTATTTGTATAACTTTCATTTAACAAACACAGATTGAGGTATCAGCCATGCAATAAATTCACTGAAGCCATTTACTGATAACCTACCATGATTATAGCAATGTGCTAGCACTGACAGCAATGAAAGGAAAACAGAGACAAGTATATTTTTGGTCATCAGCTTCTCATAAGTGAACTTCCTTAATCAGGGAGCTGGGGTTAAGACTCATAAAATTCAATGGATGGGTTTTTACAGCTGGATCAAACATTATGGACTTTAGAACTATATATATATATATATATATTTAGGGCCAGGGATTTAGCTCAGTGGCTAAGTCCCTGCTTGGCAAATGCGAAGTTGTGAGTTCAATTCCCAGTACAAAATATATCTATCTCCTCTCTCTTTCCTTCTTCTCTGTCTCCCTCTTTCTTCCCCTCCCCTGACTTCCTTTCCCCTCTCCTCATTTCCTCCCTCCCTCCTTTCCATCTGTCCTTCCTTGCTTGCTTTTTTGGAAGAGGGCAAGCACCCAAGGCTGCAAAGAGTGGGCAAAGGCCACTGCATACGGAATGCAGCCCAGCAGGTGTGACATGGAGGTGCCCTGTGCCCTCTTATGACTGAACGTTGGCTTCGCAGCCTGCTGTTTGCTTTTGGAGTTGCTGTGAGGACTGATGCATTTGGCATTGTAATGAATGAGAAGAGACTGGTTACAATGGAATCAACAACCCAAACCCCTGATACTGATGTATGCACTAAAACTCTTAGCACAAAACATGTGATTCTCCTGGAGATAAAAACCCATCGCTTTGATTTGAGGCAACAAATTCATATTTATGAGTTATGTTTTATGGCCTTAAAATGGCAGGTTATCAAATGAAACTGGAAAAATTTAGCCAAATATTCAGATATTTTAATGAACTTGATTTTAACTCTGATGATAAAATAGCCACATGAAGCTAACACATTTTAATAACTAATTTTAATAAAAAATTTTAAAGTAGAGAATTTGAAATATGAATACATTCTGAGAGATTCTTCCATTCCCAATTTGTCTCTTAATAAACCTGTCTAGAGTACATTTTGGGGGCTGATAACTTTATCTGTCTATACTGGGCTGTATGCTCAAGAGGATTAGGAGGTCCAGACTTCACAGGGGTCTCATGGGGGCCAGGCACTGATGCGGTAGCGTGAACTCACCATGCTGCTTGTATTTGGTATGTCCCGAAATCTGTCCAAAGTCTGAAATTTCTGATTTAGCTCCTGAAACAGCTCCATGTGCCTCTTCCTTGTATGCATGACCTTCTGCAAAAGAGGACAGGATGGTTCTCATGCTTAATTTAACTTGCATTTTTTTTAAGAAAGGGGCTTAGAGTTTTGCTTGATAATAAAGCAAATCAAGTTTGGCAGGAACCAGGAGTCCCAAAGATAACACAAATGTGAACAACATGCGCCAAATCCTTCTTTCCTAATCAGTATTTCTTGAAAAGGAAGAATAGGCATTTTCTTCCACTTACAAGATTACCAAAAATTAGGATTTTATTTCTTGTGGGTACATTAAAAATATAGTGCATTAAAATATAGTGTATATTAAAAAAATATATATATATCACACTCATTCTTGGGTAAAATTTTCATCTCTTGAAAGTTAAATCTGTTTCACAAAAATTGTTATAATAAGTTAAACATGTTTTAAGATTTTGGACTTGTAAAGTATCTGATTTCCCTGATGCTCATTGTGGGAAATATTATTTTTTTTATGTTTTACCTCTATAAACACTAAAATCCTAGCTGGCTGTACTAAAGGGGGCGCAAAATCCCAGCCTCTGCCATTAAGGCTGACTCGAAGCACTAAAGCTTCTGAAATATACGTTGGATCTAAAAGTTGCACTTTCCAAGTGAATGATGATTGAGCTTTGCAGAAGTAAAATCTGGCCCACAGGTTTTGTATATTTGCTTATGAGGTGATAGAGGATCTTAACAATTAAGAGGCGCAGCGTAAACTGTGTGGTCATGCGCCTCTAAAATCACAGATTCAAATGCGTTCATGTGCTTCCACTCCAGCTGCAGCCTGTTCTCCCAACTTCATCATAACTCAGCAAATGGAGTCATAAATAAAAAATGATCTTGGGGTAAGCACCGCGGGCTGATCATTTAAAATAACACTAACAGGGGCCGGGCATAAAGCTCAGCAGCACAGTGCCTGCCTGGCAAGTGCAAGGTCCTGATTTCGAGTCCTTGTACCAGGAAAAAACCAAAACAAAAATAGCAGTAACAAAGAGGAGTTATATACTACATTTATTGTATCTAAAGTTCTATTTTAAAGGGGAAAATGTCAATTTTGACGTTTTAAAGTTATATATCAGTAATCAGATGATTATGCAAGACTGTATACCTCCTTGTTTGTTTGTATAAGATTTTATATGCATTTTCAACATATGCTTCAGAACTCACCATTTGCTCATGTGGCTTACACAGGTATATGACAGTTATGCCTAAGCTATGATTTGAACATTTGGTCCATTGTTTTAAGCAACAAATATTTTTGAAAGTAATTTGTTTTGGAAAATAGATCTTTAGAGGAAAATCATAATGTTTAATTTTCTTATAAAAATTAGCATACAGTTTACTTTCTTGAAGGAAAAAAGAGCAAAAGAGAAAGACGAATTGCATCTTTAACATATTACAAAAGCCTATTCTCTCCTATGCAATCTTTAATTTTCTGTATTTAATGACTATGCATCTAGGCGAGTCACTGTAAGGTTAATTTCTTCTATTTTCCTTAGCCTACATTCTGCAAGGCAGTTCTGCCATTTTAAGTCTTGCATTAACCAGTTTCTGTCTTTGCACCCTTTGTCTCTAAGAGTTAGCTGCTGAAGAGTAGGGCAGGTGAGGATATGAATGTGGCACTCATGATGGAGACATGAAACACAGAGAACAATTACAGAGTGATTAACTTCCCATCAGTTTCAAGTAGAGTACATGAAACAGATTTGCAGGATTTACAGAGAAATACCAGGCAAACATAATTTGACTGGTGAAGGCTGATGGAGATTTATGAGAGGGAAGATTTGCATAAGTGATTCAATGGAGAGATTTGGTTACTTTGTAGCTGGCAAATGTAATTCAACATGTTCTGTTCTAGGTTCCAGACCCCGTGATACTTAGTAAAATGTAGATTTCTGTCACAAGAAACACCAATAAAAAAGTCTATTGTTAGATCCTGGCTTTGCCTCTAACAAATACATTCTGTTTTCATAGTAATGGATCTTACTACATAGAGTTAGTTTTTCCTGTGGTGCACCAGGAATGATGCTACACTGCTGACATTTCTCTAGGGATCCTTTGTTGTGTCATTTAGTATACATTTATCAACACCCAATATCTTGCTATATATCAGGGTAACAATAATGAAAAATATGATTAAATTACTGACTTACAGTAGGCCAACAGGACATAGGCATTAGTTGCATGATAATTCAAATAAAAAGTCTATAACTGTGATAAAGAAAATCTGATTCTGCTATGAAACTGATAAATTGTTACAATCAATGCAAATAAGGCAATCCACAAATTTTTACATATATGAATTTGAGTTGAAAATTTTGAAATTAGTTATTCCATGATTTTGTTTGTATGTTCTCCCTTCCATTTTCTAGAATTCAGAGGAGTGCTAGTTCAATTTTCAAGCCTATGCTTGAATTCCCCCTCCTCAATAAGGTTTTCCAAGCTACCTGTATCAGAGGCAAATACCCATAGTTTGAGGTCAGCATCTGATGTTTGCTTGCTGCACAACCTTCATTTCATCTACATCTTGCAAGAGGGGCCTGACTTTTTCTGGGAATGTCAGTCAACATCCCTACTGTCCCTGGCCAAAAGCTCAATTATTCCATATCCTTCCAACAAAGTTCTTTTGTTTGTTAACAAAGTCACTTCATAGACTTTTTGCGGCCAATAACATCTATTATAAAAAGTATGTTTAAGATACAAAGCAAGGGTCAACTGTGTCCCATTGGAAAAGAAGATGCATTAACTGATTAGAGGTTTTAGATTTATTCTGATTGAACAAGCAGTACTGATTTTGAATTGAATGGATTTTATTTTAAGGAGTTGGATCACTAGACCTACTAAAATATAGATACATGAAAAATACAAGGTTTTAATTGTTAACCATGTTACAGAACTAAAATTTTGAAATATCTCACTCATTTAAGTTCATGAAAGCTATTCCAAATAATAAGGCTCAAGGATCATAAAATGAATAGGGAGGCAAGTGAAAATTTGGATGGTAAAATATGGAGCCTTTCCTACTGAAAAAAATGATGACAAATATATTCTCATGTCAGATAATCATTCTAATTTAAAACTGTCAATTATGCACTGTCAGAAACCACTGCAGTAATGATAGCCTGGAAATCTGGCAGAGTTCGCACATTAGAGTGGTCCTTCACAGCTCAAATCTCTGCCATGGGCTCAGCTTGGTTTTTCATGTACGATTCCCTTTGTTCATAGACTCGAGCATGTCCTCCAGTCTTTATAATAAGGCAGGTTCCATCAATAAGAACAGCACCTTTCCAGTGAAAATTGGGTAGTTTCCAACCCTTCAGTACGCTGAGATAAAAACTTTACTCTGGCTTAAGTTTTCACAAGTATGGAAGGTTTCCCTGCATTTATTTACTGCTATGAGTTTTTATTTGCGATTCCCTTGCCTTTGATGGCCTTAACCACTTACACATTTTCATCCTCGTAAATCTCATTCATCCACACCAATGATTATTTTTGGATCTTTACTTTATCTTAACATTTATATCCTCTTTTTTCTTCTTTGTGTGTGATTTAAACATTGTGTTTCCCAAAGAAACTGAATTCTGTGGAAAACTCAATTTAGAACTGTGTTTTCTAAAATCTTGTAATGATATAATGATACACACGTGTATTCTCTATTTACATAAATGAAGGTATATTCTGGCTGGCAGTATCTATAGGACTGAAGATCCTTTCATTACCATGTCCATAAAATATTGTAGATATCTTTTGCAATAAAGGAAAGTACATGATAATGTTTCTTTCTATTGAGATTAACATTACTCAGCATAATGCTTCACATTGTGTGAAATCCTGTCCAAATAAGACTACCAAGGTAATCACAAAACCAGCTTAGCAGTTTATTTCAGTGGACTCTTTTTTTTTCAGTTTACATTTTGTAATTCAAGACAGGTAGCCTTTTCAACCTTTGTATTGTCATAGTAGAGAAAAAGGGGTAAGTTGTGAAGCAGATATTAGGCAAATATTATTAGGAAAAATAATATTTCATACACATGAAATATATTTCAAATATTAGGGAAAAACCTGAATGTCTTGAGTTTATATTGTACCCCAGGAACTCTCCTAGGCTCTTGAAATACTCAAAATGTCCAAGTCAGTTAGATTTGGACATTTTATACTGAGATCTCAGTCCCATTACTTAGGAGTAGTGTAGTCCTGAGCATGAAATCCAGTCTTCCTTTGGGCTCAGTTTGAACAATCAGACTTAATTTACAGGATTGTTTTTGAAGATTTTAAAAAGGATATAGCACATTTATTACAGAGCTACACTAATAAGAGGCCCTTAAGAGATGACAGTCATTAATGTCTTTCCTAATCCTTACAATAACCCTGTGAGGTGGGAGCCATCACCTTCGTTTTACTGACTTAGGAACTGCAGCTCAGAGACCAAGTTTCACAACCTCATACAGGTACTGAGAGAGCTAAATTCTTTCTGAATCCCAAGTCAGCTCTCTTTGCAGGCTGCTCTCTAAGCTGTGTCTAAGAGATTCATAAACCATTCTCCTTTGACTATTGAGGTTTGTAATTATGCCCTGTTCAGATGGAAAATGAGACAAGACAGTCGTGGAGGTCTTAGGTACTCTTTATACTAAGCCTATGGAACTCTATGGATATTGATTGCCATGAAATTATCTCAGAATACTACCTCTGTAAGACTGTTCACACTGTAGAGACCTCTATCTCATGGGCAATGACTTGTTCATCTTTGTATTCTTGACACTTGACATGGTGTCTGGTATTCAACAGGTGCTTAATAAACATGCTGAATAAATCAAATGAATAAGCCACTATAGGTACATAGGCAAATAAGGCGCCTGAAACACGGAAGGCTACTATGCATTTTCTTCTCTTCTTCTCTAAAAAAGGTCTCCCCTTTGCAAGAAGGGCTCAGTTCAATGGCCCCAGATAGAGGACCTGCCTCCTCATGCTGACTGAATTGAGTGCCCTTATCTTCCATGAAAGCAGTTTTTAAAGGATCTGTAGGTGGATTTGGGACAACTTGCTTAGAAATTTTCACTTTTAAATTCAAGGATGTGAATCCTAGAGTTGGGCTTATGCCTGAATTACAGATAAAATGCATATTATCAAAGATGCACTCTCAGAGGCTAAGGCAAACTGTTAGAGAAGGCTAATATGAACTTTAGATTAGAGGGCTTAAAAATCATGTGATTAAAGGACTTTAGAAACAAGTTTGCCTGAATCACCTTTCCCAACCCCAGAATTTTATACACCTACACGCCATTGTCAGACCACTGGGATATGGGCAATGGGATAAATCTGTGCTTGTTTTTCTTCAGCTTTCCATGTGAATCCTCTCTCCTGAGTGGGCTTTTGAATACTGGTCCTAAGTGAATGTCAGAACTTCTCTTAAGGAAGAAATGCACACTGAAGGAATGAAGACTAGCTCTTACAGCTACACTGCAACAGGAGAATGACTTTCTTTGGCCAGACTTCCAAAGTGTGAATAAAACCAACATGACTGATTCCTGACACTACAGCGTCTATGTTTCAATATGAATACGTATGTATGTAAGCCTTAAACTACACAAAGGGGTTTGAAAAAAACCAAATGAGTAGTATATTTTTTATATTGTCATTGTCAATGTACAGTAAACTTGGCTATAAATGTATGATTTTGCAACAGTTTCAAGTTAGTGATATAAAAAATGGATATGACCTACGACTGAGGGGTTCCAAGTTTTTGCCCTCCAAAGTGCCTTCTAAAGGTGTCTGAGTGGGATAAAAGGGTACACATATTGCTAGGAGTCAAGGACAAAGGAGGAAGGTGCCTATTATGAACAAGACACTTCTTTACACTTAGGAATTAATGCAGATTTTATCTTGTGTGTCATAGGTTAGCTGTACTTGAAGGGAAAAAGAACTAATACAACAATTCATCTGGACTTAAGAATTAATATAACAATTTGTCTTGACTTGACTAAGTTCCCCTAATTCTTCCATTGGAAACTGAAACCTCTATGGAGAGGAACCACAATAACTTTCCATTTTTCTCGTCTTTCATCCTCTGCTCCACCACTGCTCCCACATTGGGAAAGTGTGAATTTAGTCAGTTCTGGGGACTCACCAGAAATTTCACAAAAATTTCCTAAAATATTTCAAATGCCACATGATTCCAATGGAAGAAGTGACAAAGTTCTGTATGTTGGGAAGAGAAAATTTTTAAAATTTCAGTATCTCTTGATGTCTCCGTTTGTAAGGTAAACTAGACACTGTTATCTGTTACAGTTTCTAAATAGGCATCTACAGTTGTATTTATAGGAATTCCTTGAGCTTTTTTAAAAACCTGCACCCAATAAGTTAAGCAACCTGCCCAATAATTCTTATTTAACATCACATTAGACACCTTAATACCAATATATTATGGTGGACTCATCTTAACAAGATGACATATCCCTTGATTCCCTGGTTTTCTTACTGGTGCTCACAGAAACTCAACTGCAAAAAGCAGAATCCAGTTGTTCCAGCCTGTGCTCAGTTAAGGACTAAATGTCTCAGATCCATCTCTGTAGGGTCGCTCTACCACGTTTCCTACTCGGCCACCTTGTAAGATGGTCCTTCCCCAATTCTTTACTGCATTACCCACTGCCAATTTGCATTTCAACTGCTTCTTTTCCCTACTGCAATCTATCCTCCCCATTACTAACTCATTAATCTTCCTAAATCTTAGAGTATAATGATTTTTCAGAGCAAGCTTCTCCTCTTGGGGTGCAAGGCACGTATTCAAAATTAACCTCCCTATCTATTCTCTCATCCCACTGAATGCTGTTCAAGTGAATTTTGACTTGAATTTTTTTTTTTTTTTTTGGAGCACGCTACACATTATTAGCCAACTCCCATGTATTTTGCTTCTCCTGAAATTTCCACCTGCCGTTTATAACCTCTGTGAATTCTAGCTGAGGTGGTTGCCTTTTCAAGTCAAACGTGGCTATCTTTAAAGTGCCGCCTCCACAGCTGTTCATTTCCTACACTGCTCTGAGCTCTTACGTGGGTACAGTGGTTAGCAACTCTTTGTCAGAGCAAACTGGATTGAAAACTAATTTAGTTTTTTTTTTTTTTTTTAAAATCATTTAACAAAAATCTATGGAATATTCACTATAAATCAGGAGCTCTGCTTGAAGTTGGGAACACACTTCAATATAGCATTTAGTCACAGAGCATAAAAGATCACTATGGTATTTTTCTGTGCAATTTCCAGCATGCAAGAGTTAGTATTTCACCATTGTAAGACTATTTATTCCACGAGTGCAGAGGTACCCTGAAGAACGGCTATGTAAAAGGCCTTTTCTCCAGGCATCACACTAATTAGCCACAAAAGCTTTATGAATATGTGAGCTGACAGAATATTATTATTGCATATAACCTCTGGGGAATGTGTTAGGTTTTAGGGCTGGAGGGAAGCTGCTTACCGGAGTGCATAAGGCATCTGGCAAGATGTCTAAGTTAGTCATCTTCTGGTCAAGTCAGTTGGGAGTGGAATAATGTCAGGGACCTTGACATAAATTCAGTTAATTCAGCCTGAATTTAAGCAAGTGAGGACTGGACTCCTCTTCAAGGACCATCCACAACATATAAATTGCATCTGTGTTTAAATCTGGTAATAATTTTTCTGGACAGAATTTATGAGCTATCTGCCACATTCTTATAATAACACAGGAGACTAAAAGGAATAGCATTAGTTGATAAACAAATGGTAATGTCTGAAAGCACACATCCCAGATGCCGAGGGCAGTGTGCAAACACTACAGTAATTGAAGAATAAATGCCTGGATTCTTGTGTTGCAGCATTTCAACATTTCTCCATTGTTAGCAAATATTTTGTTAATACTGTGGTTTAATGTGTGGAATACTATGTAAGAAGTATCAGCCTAAGGCATCTGCCAGCAGTTGCTATAGAAAAGAGACTACCCCTCCTCAAAAAAAAAAAAAAAAAAAAAAAAAGAAAGGACAGTTTTTCTAGTGCTCACAGTGACACAGTATTTTAGTGCCCATGATTATGTAATTGGATGGTTGTGCTAAAGCTTAATTTTAAATCTAAGGTTTTAGTGTACTTTCTCACTGATCCCTAGTGGGTTGATCTGTACCTCTTTACCTGCAATGCACACTAACATAACAATTTGTTGATTTTTGACACACATTACATACATACATACAATGTACAGTCCTCTACTTTTGACTATCTAAAACATTAATAGAAAAAAAAAAAAAAAACCAATGAATCTGTTCCTGAAAAGGCACTGAAGTTTCTAAAAGTGAAGATTACAGAATAATTTTATCGGAATCAATAATATTGAGACTTTATGCTAAAAATGTAAGACACAATGAAATATATAATCCATGCCAGCTTACCACAGTAGAACCATGTCATAAGCTACTTAGTGATGTCAGATTCTATAATTATTACTTTGTATCTTGTAGTTTGAATTACTACTGAAAATATTTTTTCTTGGATTCTTTTCAGGATAAAGTCATTATTTATGATTTTGGTAAACAAAACAAAACAAGAAAGTCCCACATTTGATACACAGTATACATTATAGAGCTACAATAGTCACCTAAATAAATGAAATGATTGAATTAGGAAATTCCATGCTCCAGGAGAGTTCTGAAATTTTGAAAATATCAGACAAGAGTACTGAGTTATATGTATGCATCACAAGGGTACAAATATGCTGGAGAAATTTACATTATATCCAATTATGTCAGCAGGATATGAATCATATTCAATTATCAAGAAGCATAAGTGTATTTTATGTGATGCTTAAACATCATTAAGTTTGTGCTTAAATAAGCTGCTTAAATGGTATGATTTTAGTAACTTCGAACATCAATATTACAGCATCAATACAAATTCAGTATAAACTGGAAAATGGAACTCTTCATCTTGTTTATTTCTGTGAAAAGACATTTACTAAACACAGGAGAACATTGAACGAACACTTCCTACTGCAAAAATGAAGCTGAATGTACCATAGAGAAACTAAACTGCCAGAATCTCAACACAAAGCAAAGACTCCCTGATGAGCCTAGGCATCCTTACAGGATTACTCCAGGTAGACACTAATGAAAACCCTCTTACATACAAAAATCAAGAAACTGGCATTCTGACCCTCCCAACAGACACCTCGGACCAAGTTCTACTCCTAAAACTGCCCACTTATTCAGCATTTATAAAACAGACCCTTTACCTCTCCAGAGGCATTCGAGTTAGCATACACTAAAAGAAATTAGGACTTTAAAGCTTTTGTCTAAAGCTATCTAAACAGCATGGATTCAAATTTAAAATTCTGATTTAAAAGTCTGACTACTAAGACTTACAGGTCTTAGTAGTAGACCTGTAAGCTGCATAAAGTCATACATTGTTATTTCCGATTTTGGATCAAAAACATTATAAAATAATTCATATACACTTACCTCAAAGTCAAGGTCTGAGTATCGTGATTTTCTTCTCTGTTAGAATTTTTTAAAAAGAAGGAGAAAATCAATAAAGTTATGTTTAGTGATTCAAACAAAATGAAAATCATTATTTTTATTAAAGATAATCCTGCTTACTTGTGTTATGAATCCTTCTTTCATATAAGAAACATTTTCTAATTTTTATGATTTTAAAATATTCCAACTACATTATTCCATTTTCAATTTGAACTTCCTTTAAAATTGAAGTATGTTAATAGTATAGACTATTTTTCACCTTCATGTCTTAACCCTAGTTTTCAGTAAGGAGAAAAGTTTCATGTGAAAATTTACACAAATATGGCACTCTTACTTTACAGACACAGAAGATTTAAGAGTTTTATCAGAAAGATAATCCAGGTAAATCAACAATGAAGTCTCCCCAGAATTCATTAATACCAATTCTACCTAACCTCTCTGTCCAAGTCCCAGCTTTGTGTGTATCTACCTCACACATTTCCTCTCCATGATACAAAATTCCTTCTAATTGCAAGCCCTAAAACCTAAAGTATTTATTCTAATTCTGTAACGCAAATAACAGATATTTCACACTCCAGCAAAATGTTTCAGAGTTCTTCTATGGCTCTAAGTCTGCTGAAGGCTTTCCAAATCTAGTTATAGATAAACACACATTAATGAAATAAAGTAATTAGGCAGGAGGCCTGTTAGACTCAGGAAACATGATTAAAATGAAATTAATGTCATCTCATGTGATGATATGATTTGATGATATTACTGTGAGGAAGAGATTCTCAGCATCTGTTTGAGGAATCCAGTGGTTCCTGGAGTGGATGAAATGGAGATGGAGATGTCTGTTCAATGTGTGAAAACCTTCCAAACTTTGAGAGAACAAAGCAAATTTCTAACATAGCTTTTGTTTAATTTTGATTTTTTCTCACAGTGGAGATGAAACACAAGACAAATTAAAAAATATTTAAAATGAGTAACAGTAATATTTAGGCAGTTGGCCTTTTGGCAAAGTTCTTTCTCTTTCTCCTCTCCTATCTCAGCATCTACAGTCTGCGGCTCACTGACTTGCGTGGGAGCCGCGAGGAAGAGGTGGGAGGTGCTACTCTCCATCGCAACTGCTGAACATGACAGACAGAAAAGTATTCATGCACTTAATGAAAACTACGACTGAAGTCCTAAAGCAGGTCAAGTTAAAATTGTCACTGTATAACTGGAACTACTCCTTCAAGTGTGTTTCAATAAATGGAACATTTTGTTAAAAAAAAAAGTCAATTTCTGAAATTATTTATTTATTTATTGGTGAAGCTGCTTAAGATTAGAATCAAGGGCTGGGGATTTAGCTCAGTGGCATAAGTGCCTGGCTGGCAAGTGTGAGGTTGTGAGTTTGATCCCGGTAAAGAAAAAAAAAAAAAGTAGAATCCAGCCTTCAAGTAGACTGGAGGAGAGAGCTGAGAAGAGATTGATTCACGCAAAGGCAGCTCAGCATGTTAATCTCATTTGTTCCTCTTCTCCAGCACCCTGCTGACATAAGCCAGCCCTCCTTTGCCATCTCCCTGCTACTATTGTTATCTAACTGTGTTGTGTAAAATCAGGCTCCAGTACATTGCACACTCCTTCCTGCACTGTGCTTGTTTAAATGTCAGTGTCTCCCTACTGCTCTTGGGTTTTTTTTTTTTTGCTTCTTGGCACTGTGACTCAGCAGGGAACTTTTGTACACACGCCTTAAGCAAAGTTCTTTTTCAAGCATGAAAACTCTTAGCTTTAGGCAATTATTATTAAGAAATTAGTCATGAGGTTTGCATTTCATTTGAAAATTAAATAGTGAAATCTTATTTAAAAGGCTCAGTTAGAAGAATGGGGGGGGGGGCTTCTGCTATAGCCACCAAGGGGCTCCCCACGCCAAAGGTGCTAAGAGCCCCAGGTCACCCTGCTCATTTCAACGCTATGTTTGTGAATATGGGTGATGGATACACATCGCTTAAGGGTCTGTAATAAGAGCAAGAGATGGAAACCTAGAAGAATGCCATATTGCCATATGGAAAAGAAAATAGATACAGTCCCACAAATAGCCCTTGTCTCTGTCTCTGTCACACACACACACACACACACACACACACACACACTCGTTTTTATTAAAACTAAAATTTAACATAAGGGTACAGCAGACCTGGCAGTCTTGGAGGATCAGATTAAGGGATGAGCACCGAAGCAAACAGATTTTAATTGCAAGAGCTTAAAGATGGTAGAGGAACTAGAGAGAGGACAGAAGTAAAACCAAAAGGACTTAAAAACTAGAGCACAGGGAAAATATGCCAGACATTAAGAGTTTAAAGGAGATGAAATTTAAGTAACTTTATTCATGTCTTCATAATACTGCGAGACGGTCTCAACCTTTTATAGATTAGAAAGTAGTTTCACAATTGAAAATGCTAGACACTCTGGGATGTTCAAGGAAAGTATTTATTCTTTTCATTTTATGAATGAGTCAAACAGAGAACCAACAGAGGTAAAATAACTTGCCCACTTCACACACATAGGAAGCAAAAGAGTTAAGATTCAAATTCAGATCATTTGACTCTAAATCCAGCATTGTCTCCACTATCTCTGTCTGTTCACTGACACAGGATAGCATTTGGCAGCCAAAATGCCTGAAACCTGTTCAGCATTGTTCCTTGAACTTACCAGGAATAACACTGAATGACCCAGGCAGTCCAAGATGGGCAGTAGAGAGACTGAGATGCTTTCCAACCATAAAGTAAGGTCAAGTAGTTTAACCTTTACATGTCATTTATAATTTGAAGAAGATATACTTTGCACAGAGAATCTGTGTAAAATAGTTTAAAAATTATTATTGGAGATGGCTTACCCACAATGTAATAGTAATAAACTATTAATAGCAGACTTTTCTCTTTCCAGATGTGACTCTTGCAAAGCAAAATCTAGCTGGTTTTAAAGAAGTATCCCACATTGGGAAATCTGTATTGTAAAGGAAGAATCAGAATGTCTACTTCTGGTCATTATGGTCTGATTCATCTTTTACTATATATGTAGTATAAAGGAAAGTCATGGGACTGTTGAAAGTCATGACTAACTACCATATTGCTTTAAATGTCCTTTGAGCTCTGTGGAATGCTCATGTAATGCTGTGAAAGTGGCTAGAAATAAGGGTTGTATGTTTAAAAAATGAAAACCAACTAAAAAAAGTGACTCAGTCCTAACAATTTTTCTGATCAGATAGTAAGAAACATGCCACACATAAATTGAAAACAAGTCAGTGGAACATTTAAAATATTTTATGATGGCAGGAATTCTTCTTTCTGTATATCCCTAATTTCTCAAATAACTTGAAAAAACCTTTTATCATTGTCGATGGTGTTTCTATATTCTATTTCGTCTCCTAATTTCTCATTTCATACTCACCTCAACTTGTATTTTCTTAACACTACATTAAAATTTCTCTCTTCAAAGATCTCTAATGAACATCACTTGGTTGAATACCAAGGTCAATTTCCATCCTCATCTTACTGGACTCTTAGAAGTTTTTGAAAGCTCATCACTTCCTCATTAAAATACTCATCACTCCTCAGTCCCTTTCTTTTTTTCCTGCCTTTCATTTACTGCAGCTCATTTTTAAGTCTCTTCTGTTAGTTCTTTCTCATATCCCTGCTTTTAAATGTTGAGTTGCTGAATTTCTTCTTTCCCATATGCTATCCTGGATAACACAATTCATTCTCATGATTTTAAATATTATCCTTGAAGGCCCCCAAATTGTTTTCTCTCTTATGTTTGTGGCTATCTAGTTAGTCAAGCAAAAGACTTAGGAGTCATCTTACATTTCTTCCAGGCCCTTATCCTCCACATTAAATCTACAAACACGTGCTCCGTGTTGAAGGTCTGAAGTATATCTCCATCTGCCCACTCATTTCCATCTACACTTTTGCTACTATAAAAGACACTTACATTTCTTGTCAAGAATCTTGTATTTCTTAGAGTATACTGCACTCCCAAATGCTTACCAGACCACTATATCCAATGAAGTCTTTCTTTCACTTCCCATTGTTACCTGCAAGCACAGCACACTGCATTTAAATTACTCTTTTGTTTTGCTTGATGGTCAGTTGTCTGTCTCCCCACAGAGTTTATTATCCTCAGGGTAGGATCCTCATCTGTCTTAATCACTTTTATATGCCCAGTCTGTGGCAGACGGTATGGCACAATAGTAGACATCCACACAATTACTGATGGAGGTTGCAAGGAGCTAATGGCAGACAAAGACATTTCAAAAGAAGGAAACCTTTTGCTTCTGCTGTGTCATTGTTGCATTTCTTCAGAATACTCTGGGAGAATTTGGATAAGCAAATGAACTAAGTACACTAAGGAAAGCACTATAAATAGGTTGAGTGAACCAAGAGAAGATGATTTACAGGAAAGCAGGCTTATCACTGATAGGGAGAAATTCTCCAGGATGTTTTAAAAGTGAACACATGCAGTGCTGGATCAGGCTGCCCTGAGGAGTGAGAGCAAGCGGAGAAGCTACTTTCCATATCCAACTGTTATAAAATGATGCCTAATGTCTCAGAGGGGAGACTTCACTGTTTGTGTCACTGCAAATTAAGCTGGACAAGACACTAGGAGATTCAAGGCAGGTAATAAATTCCACTGACAAATGAAGGGCCATATGACTGGCATTAAAAGTTTCTATTACAGGGTGAGCAATGAACTCACTCACAAGGAGAAAGCTTTGATAGCAAATCCATTAAAAATAGCTGTGCCAATGAAGTCTGGGAATAACTAATTGTCTAAAATGACTTTTGTTCAAGCTAGTTTTCTTGGGATGCATATAAAAAAGCCAAAATCTCCTAACCTAGGAGCAAAAACAAAAGCATAAAGAAATCTTTCGTTTCACCAAACCTAATGAGAAAAAAAAAAAAGTTGAAAAAGTTGTTGCTACACATGGTCAATTTTATAATGGTCTCCGTTAGTGACAGTCTTCCAGTTCCCAAGTGAGGATGTAGTATTTTGTCTAACACCCTGAATATCGATTTAATATAGCATTCAAGCTTCTTCACAGAAATTCAAGGCATAGCAGTAATGATATAATAATAACATAACCTTACATCCAAAGTACTCTGTACAATTTCCAAAGGGTTTTCATGTACATTATATAATTTGATCCTTACAAAACCATAAGGGAGGCACCACTGAGGTGACATTGTTGCTAAAATATTTACCATTCAAAACCATTATGTTGAGAGTTATACAGCTCATGTTCCAGTAGAGAAACGTTTTGTAAAAATTTGGCCTATAATGGCATCTTAGTCCACTATTTACAACTGAGTTAGGCTTCTCTGAGAGTATTTCCAGATGACACAGATAAGTTTATACACAAATAGAAAAACCAAAGTAGCAACATTCTGTGTTTCTGATAAAACAATTTTGTGATGTACTATTGAGTATCAGTTTCTACACTGTTTTTGTTGCTAAGAAAAATTAAGGCAAGATTTGCCAGGTAAACAGTAGAAATCACTTAATATATTAACATTTGAGCCAAAAATGTCCCATAAGAAACCAAGTGATAGAGGAGCAGGAAGGTGGCACAGGGGACAGCTGGTGATCAGGGGCTTGCAATGTGCCTCCCCAGCGGGATTGGCTAAAAGGTGAAGGCCGTGTCAGGAAGCGCTGTGAGGGGCCCCAGCTGGACAGACACAGGGTGCCTCCCAAAGCAGAAAGAGCAAATAAAACTGCCACGCTCTACCTTCTCCTCACCCTCCAGAGCTGGCAGCGCTCCCACTGCCACATCCAGCCGGAAGTCGGAGACACTGGGCTTGTTTCAACCAAGAGCCATGCAGAGAAAAGGAGTGAGGAATAGACTGTTTGCCAGACAGGCCTAGGACATGCACATTTATAACGTAATGAATACCAGTGTTTCAGGGATTCAAAACAACTACTGACTTCTCTCTTACACCTAACATTTTTAGGAAAATATTCCAATAGGACTACAGTACAATCTTGAGATTTAAAGGAGATTTCAAATCCTCAAGTGTTTGTGAACCATGGTATCTCTCCTTGTTTTTGCCGTTTTAAAAAATTTTAGTGGTACGTTTTAGATATACATAATGATAACACTCATCACAGAGAATTTGAACCTGTATATGACACATCTTCCTACTTCTTTTCCCATTCTCCTCCCCTCTATAGTAATGGCTTGGTACTTTTTTTCTCTTATTATACACCATGTACTCAACAGGCTTCATTAATCAACGAAAGGTGAGAGCGATATGCTGATGACAGTTGCATTCTTCTTCACTTTAAACCAAGCACTTAGAGGATATCTAGGTCTGCAGCCTCTGTGAAAACCTCTGCCATATTATATTGCAATTATTCTGTCATTGTGGGAACTTGAAATCTAAAATTTCCAGAATTACTTACAAGGGTATTCTGGGAATGACGACACATAGGATAGGAAGACATTACCAGAAACAAGGAAGCAAGATAGTAGCATTCATGGAGAAACTCTAGTCGTATTTTTATGTAAAAAATAAAAATTAAAAAAAAAAACCTTCCTGAATTTATCCGACATTTTACACCCAGTAACTTGGGCTGCTGAATGAGCTCTGCTGCACGCAGAAGGCTCTTCCACTGGCCTCGCTTTGGGTCGGGAGCCTCCCTTACCCCGCAGCTGCCCCCTGTTTACCAAATTCCTACTTCTGCCCACTCACCCACTGGAATCTCTTTGGCTTTCTTTTTTTTCCTGCCTCAATTTTTGCTTTTCCTCATAAATACCAAATTCTGAGCTATAACTTATACATTTGCTTTCATTTATTTCTCCCTTTCATCTCTTTACATATTAGCAATGTGTAAAAACCCCTTCCTCCTTGAATCAACGCAGACATCCTGATAATTGATTCTGGTTCTCCTGGGCAGCATCAGCTTCCCTCCATGGATATTTCATCTCCCTTCTCATTCAGGGTGGGCCAAAGGCCTTTGTAATTCTTACATTTACCTGCTTTTATCTTCAATTCTCCTTTAATGCTTAAGACATCTCCTGACTTCTGCTGACCCCTGGTCCCCAGGTACAGGCTCTAGTCATCCGTCTGCCTTTCCTCTGTTATTATCAGAATGCATCATCCTCACCAGATTGACAGAGACAACGTAGAAAAGTTGACAACTCTGATTGCCAGTAAACCACTCTGCTCAGAAAGAAACTATGCCACTGATTTTATATGCTGGACAACAGTCCTGTCTCTGGGATCTGTCAGCTGTATGTACATCCAGTTCAAGGGCTTTATCATTTCAGGTCTTTGTTTATCATAAGACCGGGTGTCTGTCATGGATTTAAAAGAACTTTAAAGTTACCTATCTACTTGCTAGTGTCCAGGCTCATTTTTGCCTTTTCTACATAGTACAGAATTGATCAGGACAGAAAGATTCTGTTTCTGGACTTGCCGTGCACTTGCTCTGTAACCTTGAACAAATGACTGCATTCTGGAGGAGATTATAACAATTTATCCATTGCACAGAGGTGTTATGAAGATTAATTAATTCATAGTTTAAAGTGATTTGAGGATTTGCTAATGAAAGATGCTATATAAATGCTAATTTTTATTATTCATTCCCACATCTATATATTCTCTTTCAGTTGTCTCCTAAAATGGTCACCCTAAGCAATTACTAACTATTAAACTTTTAAAAAATGAGAATGAGGAGCTGAGTTTTCATTTGGAATCCCAAATTTCATTCCTTTTCAAGATGTGAGTCTTGTGATCTCAAAGTAATTTAAATGCAGATCTTTTGGCTGAATCATTGTTATACATGATGCTTATACTTAATAATAAGGATACAGAGATTTACAAAAATTACAAGCTGAACAAAATGGTAGCTAGAAAATACAGTCTACTTGAACAAATCAAACCCAGCTAGGTTTTTAGGCATTTAAATATTAATACTTTTCAACAACCAAAATATTTTAATGAATTTCATACAAATCCCCTTGGCACCTTTACAAGTGCTATTCTACAAGGAACATTCCCATACGGTCGTTATAAGTACTGTTGATATTATAATGTGACATACACAAACACTGGAAATCTTAAATATTTGTCTTTTTGGATGAACAGTTTGTAGTTTATGTTTATATGGTCTTTTTTATAGCAGACAAGACAGTCTCTGGAATGAGAAAGTTATGATTAAGCAAGTAGCTTTGCTGCTATAAGGTTGGAGTGCTTTTGTCCAAAAGGAAGTTCCAGCCATTTTGGAGTTGAATTTGACCTCACTGCTACTATCCATGTCTTTAGTTCTGGGAATGGTTTCACTTGGTTATCCTCAAAATACTTATTTTATTTGAAGATGATTCAAAACCTAGAACTTTCTTCTAGATCCTATTTATAGTCCTATTTTTGTCTAGAATTTCCTTAGCCTAATTGGGAAAAATCCTAAAAAGATACCATTCACCACATTTCCTTTTCCTCTCAGGATCTCCTTTCATTTTGGCCAAATGGAATTCATGCTTTTCAAAGGGAAGCAATAGTTGCCTCAGGGTACTTTTGAACACAAGTATAACTGATAGGAAGGGCAGGCAACCAATAACGATGTCGTTCTCTAAACAGTACCTTATATAATAATTTACTGTATTAAAATAATTAGCAATATGTGCAAAATGCATGTATTACATTGTATACTGAATATATAAATCGGTAGCAAAGTTACAGCAAACTTCAAAGTAAAGGATAGAAAAGCCACATACAAATCTGTAATAGGATGTATGTCAATAGAAAATAAGGCTTTATAGTCCTTGACTCTCACTTAACTAATTCTAATATAATATCAATGGCAATAGCTTTTGCTATATTCCACATATAGGCTGAATAAAAATGCTGAGAGGAGTTTACCACTTTTGCTAGCTTATGCAGCCCAAATGTTACATGGATAGACCTTGGAGTCCTGACTTTCACAACGTTGAGATTAAATCCTGCCTAATAGTTGACAATATATAACCAATAGTTTCAGTGGTCATCATTCTGTCATAATTAAGAGCAAAACATTTACTTTGAAAAGACTGAACTAATGTGATGATAATTAGGTTATAATTTGTGTAATGATGGAACTCAGAGAAGTATTTCAGTTTGTTATTTTTAATAAGTGCCGTCAGAAAAAAAATCTATATCTTGGTTTAAGTTTTTGATGCCACCCAGATACTAATGTACCCTTACAAAGATATCTGGTACTGAGAAACATCAGGAAGATCTTCTGATATTTTTAAGTGAGTGTTCCATTTGATTCCTATTATGAAAGACGACTAATAGTATCATTTTAAATATAGTGGGGAACATTGACGTTTAATGTCATCATGAATCAGGTGATTCTAATGCACTACTAGAAAAACCCTATTTCCAGGACCTAAATCCCAACATGCCACAAATTCTTATATAACTGCAAAAGCTAATGCGAACTCTTTTCTCCAAAAACAGTGACACAGACTCAACTGACATTTCATACAGCAAGGAAAAATATAACTTTTCATCACTCACCTCTAAAGAACTCATTGATATTGTTGATCCAGTTTCACTCCTTGAGAGTCCTGCATTATCATCCAACTCAGTGGCCATGAAATTCTTCACAGCTGTGCGGGGCTCAAAGGGCAGATTTTGCATGTGTTCCTGGGGTGCAAGATGTTGATCTAAGTTCATATTGAACTGGTCCATTACAGGGGGATTCATATTGAATTCGGGGTTCACTTTGTAGTGCAATAGCCTTTCGTGAGGCAGGGTTTCCATGCCAATATTCATTTTGCTTTCCTCTTTCAGTGATGGCTGGGTATTTACAGAACTTCTGGGCATCACAATATAGTCACTTTCCATCATTCTTTCTTGAGGATGGACTATATCTATATCAGCCCCTCTTAAATTGTCTTCTGTACACAAGTACACAGTTCTCCGCAATTCACTGTTCTCTTTTTTCAAACACTGACTGCTCAGCTCATTCATACTCATGGGCATGTGCAGACCTGTGGGTTGCTGGATGATGACCTTAGAAATGACATTTCCAGGCAAGGTTGAATAACTCAGCCCTTCAGGGCTTGTCCCTTTCTCTTCTTCATCGTCATTTAAAGAAATCCTAGAGAGTGTTCCTGTTATTGTTGCTGCCCGGCAAGGGCCAATATCCTTGTGAAGAACTGTGAATTAGCACATGATGGTCATGAAAAACAGTTAATTTGTATTTCTATTACTATATAAAGTTGTCTCTTGCCTTATTAAACAATTACCTAAGTAAATGAAAAAATTAATCTCTTAAATAATTATGCATGAACTTGTTTGCTCATGGCCCAGATTATATCACTCTTCACTGACTCTGCAGATCACAGGTCAACCACAGTTAAAGTGTATCTGAAAGCAGACTACTCAGCCTCCCCCCAAATCTCACTGCATGGTCCTCAAAACACTTTGCACAACTCTTCAGGCAAAAAGTAGATGGCTAGAGAAGTTGTTTTTTAATGAATCTATTTTGGAAGATTTTTTAAATTAAATGCATGTATTCAAACAAACTTGATATTCATTCATTTACTTAACTTATCTGCATAGTACTGGGGATTGAATCCAGAGTCTTTGCACTGAGTTACGATATTAGGCCCTTTTAAAAATTTTTTACTGTGAGACAATGTTTCACAAATTCGCTTCATTTCTCAGAATGGGCTCAAACTTGCTACCCTTCTGCCGTGGCTCCCCCGTGTGCTGGTAGTAGGGCGTGTGCCATCACACTTGGCTGACTTTCACACTCGGCCTACTTTTTTTTCTTAAAGGCTTTCCCCTTGGAGTGTTTCAGAATTTCTGTTCATCAACTTACTTCTTCAGGTAGTCAGTGGAAAATTCATACCACTGGGTAGAAATCCTTTGAACACTTAAGCATGTTGAAAATTACTGCACATTTGTCCATTGGTATAGTCAAGATAAATACAACATTCAAAAGTATTTATCAATTTCAATTACAAATTGGCCAAAAAGGAATACTTTTTTTGTGTATGAAAACATTCATGGTCTAGGATACCCTCATGAAGGTATTGAAATTTCTGAGTTTAAACAGAAAAGTATATGTTTAAGTATATGCATACATAGTATACAAACACTTAAGTATACAAAGAAGTATATGAGTCTTTGAAACTGTGATGCAGAAACCACAGCTTTGTTTTTAAAAATCAAAATCCACATAAATGACTTACATCCCTAATGATTATATTTTCAAGATGAAACTATTCTTACCTGATCGACAAGCAATGTCAACATCCTTTTCAAAATCTGTCTGTAACAAGAAATAAAAAGGCACAGATGATCATTTATGAAGACCACAAATAACTTTTGATAATCATATTAGCTGAAGTTAAAAGGTATCTGATTAAGCAAGGCTAGTTCATTGTTTTGTACAAAGAAAGTTTCTCAAAGAAAAATCAGATTGTTTTCAGGAATACTTCCTAGAAACCAAATGGTGAGTAAAATCAGAGGGAATGTGACATACAGTTTGAATAAGGTGATATAGTAACTGCTATCATCTTCAGTCTGCAGACTTACTAGTATATATGAGAGGGTAAAAGTTTAAAGAAGTGCAATTCTCTAACCTTAACAATCCTGATCTTTCAATCCAAACGTGCACTATTATGTGTATATTAAATAACTATTTTTTTATTTGTCTTTGGGGGTTATTTATATTTTATAACACAGCTTTGAAAAACCATTTTTAGTCAACTGAGGTTGTTCCTTCTCATGATTTTCATTCAAATGTAACCAAAGACTCTCGGGTTTAGGAATTAAAATTTAACAATAACAATATTCTTCTGATGCCACCCACATATTTCCCCAAAGTTTTTAAAAATAAATCAGCCTGTTTTTTAAAAATAGTAAAAGTAAATTAGCCTATCATAAGCAAGTTCTTCTAATCAAAGGCCTTTCCCAATAAATATTGTAAGTGAATGATTTTCATAGTATCTACTTGTTTTGGGTAAGAAATGAAACATTTTTTCTCAAATCACAGTCACTAATATTTAATCTATTTTTATGTTGCCTAGCCCAAAAATGTCAATAATAAATCAAATATACTATTAAAATAGCTTCCTTTTTAATCAATGTCTACTTTTGATGACACAATTTAAATCTGATTTCATTTCTAAGACACACTGAAGCATTTATGCCCTCAGTATCCTTAATTTCAACAACAGTCAGGGCTCAGGCACAATTTGGATCTTCTATGGGCAGGGTGGGTATTCCTGATTGTTTAGGATTATGATTCTCATTTTAAGCCGCACACTGGATTCAGGTCTTACTTAAGAAGTCTGGGGTGCAGGCTTCTCTGATGATTCTAACATGCAACATGTCTGGGAACCACTGCTTTAAGACTAGATATGTAACTCCCTATTTTCTGATTGTGTACAGATTACGACCCCCAATTCTGGGCAAGGAGTAGAGACTCTACAGTGGTCCACAGAATTATCCTCAGTTGACACTCAAGATTCTGGACTTCCAAGCAATCCAGACAAGATTCTTATCTGGAGTCAAATTCTAGGTCTATCATCAATGAACTAAAGCCAAAGCCACTCAAAATGGCTTGTTTCTATACTATTTTACAAATAAGGATTTTTAAAAAAAATTCAGTTGAGGAATCACAACTTATGAAACAATCAGGGAAAATAAAAGCTCACCATGATTTGAGCATGCCCGTTAGGAAAAGAACTTGATGAATCAGCATTGATTGGGTCCTGGCAGTTTCTCAACCGGCATCTAAATGCATCCTGAACCTGCAAGGGAAGCAAGACATCAATTTTCCTGTCCATTGATAATTAAGAAATAGTGTCTGTTTTGGCAATCAACTATGAGGAAGAGACTAGATCTGCTTTTATGACGTAATAACCATTTTGTTTGATTCTTAGTACAAACGCTGGAGTTTCTTGACTTTGCTCTCTCTGCAGGAAACTCATCACTTGCCCTCATCTATAGATGGAGGTGCTGGGAACTCCTGAACTATCTGACTCAATCCTAATAATTCATTTCAGGGTGTGAATTTACTCCCATTGTTACAAACAGTACATGTGTCTTTTAAGTTGAATTTACTATTTGGCATGGCATAATCTTCATAACTGCTTTAAAAAGTGTGAAAAATGAGATTACTCAGTGATTTGTGGACTAGAACCGATTTTGGATTACTCCTTTTATGTTTCACATAAGGGAAACCATTTCTTGTCTCCTTCCAGTGCTGTACATCCAGATGTAAAAACAGGAGGACACAGAGACAGAAAGAAAATGTGATAACTCTGATCGTATCCTTTGTATCTGTGATAGCTCTGAAGTGGGTAGCAGGAATTATGTAGCCCAGCTGAACTTCTTTAATATTCGTTAATAAACAAGTTCTGAATAAAAAACAAAGTCATCAAAAGTGAGTTTGATTAACATTACATTAATTTCTTTATTAAAACAACAAGTCAGTAAATATGAACAGGGAACACTGAAGAATGCAACTGGCAGTTGTAACAGAAATGCAACAGTGAGGAATTGTGGTCATAGGAAGAAGCGTTGGTCCCACCCCGTCCCTCCCACTTCCTGAGCATCAGGGGGCTCCTCAGAAGCTGTTCACAGACATCTTCACAAGCAGCCGTTATCCTACCTCAAGACCTCGATCATTTTACTAGTTCTTTGCTTTTCTACTTCATATTTTTGGTATTCTTTTTTGTCATTTACTGTCATCTCTTGGTCGGATTTAAAAGAAGAATGGATGGTGTTATAGTTTCCTTACATTGAAGGCATCCTTATACAGACTTTGGAACACACAGGGATCTTTATTATAATATTCTGTTTTGATATATGATGTGTGTAGTACAGATTGGTAACAAGAAAAAAAATTAGATCTGTTAAGTTTTCAGCTTTCTTCTTGTCTTCTAACCCATTTTGTGGCTACCAGTAGCCTCTCCCCCAAACTGCTATTTGGTTTTTAAAGCGATATTGAGTTTAATTAATCCCACACACTATCTAACCAGTTCAAAAGTGAGATTTTTCTCCACTTCTTTTTCTCCACCTCAGGTTCTGTAAGATCACCATCGTGAAGAAGGCCCTAAGGATCCAGCTCTCATGAAAAATCAAGGGGTTTTTATTGTCCACGCATGCGAGGGACCCTCCTACCGCACTCCGGTGAGAGAGGGGAGCGAGAGAGTGCCGAGTAGGGAAGTGCAGAGTATATAAAGCCGAAAGCCCCAAAGCAAGCGTTGGTTACAGAAGCAGATGGCATTGGTTAATAGGGGTCCTGTTGTTTGCTTACTGGTGGGTGAGCTGTCTGCTGCAGGTGGCTTGATGTTTTTGAAAACTCATATCTTGTCTGGCAGGGTTGATAGTTCACAGTGCTCTTATTTTTGGGGACGTCGGATCACAACTTCCCTATCAGGTCAGAACATCTGGCTGTTCTGACCCAGTCACAAGGCAAGAGGGGTTTCCTGAATGTTTTAACTCTTTAGTTCTAATTGTGGTGATGTAGCCACAATGAGGCAAGAGATTAGCATGTGGCAAACTGGCTGGACAAGTGAGCACGACACGGCAATCACGAGACCCAGGACACATACTCCAAACAATTTTCAAAGTCCTGCACCTAGAACCAATCAGATAGTGCCATCATCAGTTCTTGCCAGAGCTCAGCAGGTTTCTGACAGGACAGTCCAGACCTGATGTCAGCCTAGGATGATGGTTCCCATTTCCCTTGTGGCCACTGTGTTCCCCCTTTTGCAGTGATCTGCTCTCATCTGGCTGAGTGTACTTCTTCCCCCACTTTTAATTTGCTCTGCAGAACAAGTTTCTTTTCCTACCTTTAATAAATGTAGAGCCTTGCTGTGTTTTGTACTTGTCTTGACCAATTCTTTGTTCAGAAAGAATCTGGAGAAGGAAAACCCAGCACTCCAGGACCCAGTGATAATATGTGAAATCAGGCACTGGAGGAGGAACTTAGTGTCCTCTGATCACTCTTCCATTCCAAGATTCCCCATTGGAAATCCAAATCTGAGATTTCCTCCAAAGGGATTAGGAGCTGCCTGATATAATCCTGCAAGGTAATTTCTTATTTCTTTTTTCAAACACAATAGAAAGATCAGTGAAATTTAGTTTGATCATTTTTTGCTGAAGAAGTAGAGAAATATGTAGGCCCGAATCCTCTAGTTTCTCCCTGTGAAGGAGATATGACCAAGAAAATTAGATACTTCTGATGAGAATGTTGAAATTTCAGGCTCCTCCTTTCTATATTAAGAAGTCATTGCCATAAGCTATAAATTTACACCTAATAATAGAAAGTTACTATTACATCTTGTATTTGCTAGATCATCACTTTTTTCTGTTATAGGGAAAGTGAACTGGGGAAACCACTATGAAAGCCTGCTTTGGGAAAAAATGTTCAAGAAACCAGTGTCAGAAAAATAAGTACATTTTAATGTTATTTGTGTTTCAAGACAATTGTTATAAAAGTACAATTTATAAAGGAGATAAATAATATGCTAGAAATGGCGGCTCCTGGGAACTTGTCACATGAAGGTTTCTTTCAAATCTATTGCTAAATCTGAACACATACAAAATGTGAAACATTACACTAATCCCAGACATTAATTTGGCTCGTCCTTGCTAACTGTTCTCCATTTTCTGACCTTTAGAGGACGGTTGTCATGATATTTCTGGCTGACAGTGAAATACGGAAAAATTTCACTTCAACTCACAATCTAGTGGCTTGGAAGCTATAAAAGAAATATTTTTCAGAATATACACACAGAATCAATATTTTTCAACTACCAAACTCCCAAAGATGACAACGGATTAAGGGCATTTCTATACTGGAGAATGATGTCAGCTTTATGAATTAGTCAATGCTGTTCAGAAGAACCATAAATGTGAAAAGCACAAAAATCTCCAGTAAATTCAAGGTCATTTTAAGGATCTTACAAATGTTACAATGTAAGTTTTGGATTCTATGATACACTTAACGTTGTTGATACTGCCAATTCACAAAGATTTGATTTCATTTAATTCCAAATACTACACGAGCCTTTTGAAATCTTTAAAATACATTCGGTCAATCTAAATGAATTGGCCTCAAATATTTGTCCAATACTGTCAGGGAAAATGATTATAGTAGATTTCACACTGCATATTACCTTATCACAGAAGTAGCTGTTTCAGACAAAACAATACCTAGAAAATGCATCCAGTTATTTGAAAGCAGTTGGGTAATTAATTGAATTTTCCACCAGTTATACAAAGAGAATATTATTTTTTGTGAATCAGTGATTTTGTGCTGATAGAGAACAAAGACGTTTTAAGAAAGCAAATGTAAAGAACTCTGCAGATAAAATAAAGCATAAATAGATGATAGATTAGATAGATAAATAGATGATAGAGACACAGACAGACAGAATCTAGATCAAGTTTGCCAAAAATGAAGAGTTCTTGTGAAAATATTTTTTAAAAATTTCTGAGATTATAAATATGATTTTCAGGTAGCCTGTTGGAAACAAATTACAGCAAACTTTCTTCTTTTTATAATATCCTGCCATAGGTCTTTTACTTCAATTCATGATCAGGCAGAGGGTTACACAGCTGAGGCAGTAGAATGGGACAGACATGCAGCTACTCTGGGAATTTTTAGGGGACTTTAAGGAAATCTGGCGGTATGTTGGGAAATGAAAAGAATGGTGAGAGACATCTTCAGAAATAAAGCGAGGAGGAAAGAGATCATCAAGGTTTTCTGCTGAAGGTACACCACCAATGTTGCTCCGGCTGGTGGTGTCCTGTGGGAACCCGAGAAAGCTCCAGGACCAACTCATGGATGTGGGTGGACTCCTGGCTGAGCCTGGAGTCCAGAGACCTTTGCAGGCTGTGTCTGGCTCCCAGCTGCCCCCTGCGGGGAAAGACTTTTCCTCAGCAGAAGCCAGCCAAGAGCTTCTCCCTGGGTCCTTGCTCTCAGGAGGCAGCTGGCAGTGGCAGCTCCGTGGAAGTTGGCGCCAGATTGAGAGACTTCTGGGGAAGCGCACCAAGCACTGCTTGGCAGCGCTGCAATTCAGAGAAACAGCACAAGAAAGAACTGCACAGTTTGAAATGGGCTTTTATTTAAACTGCCGAACAGCTGAGACCCAAATCTTTGCTTTTTAAAACGACAGTTTTCCTAGAGCTACTCTTGTTGACTTCTTATTCCAGGAGATTATTGGAAGCCAAGAAAATAAAGTTTTATTCTTGTAATTATTTGAAATTATTTCCTTGGGGAGAGAGGAGAGTTTCTTGTGCCATGTGTTTCTCTGAATCCCATGACTACTATTGTTTCCTACTTCGATAAATAACTCATCGCTTTTAATCCAACTGTACTTTATACAATTTAATTATTAAATGACACATTCTCAGTTTCATCTATATTAGACCAATCGCCCTAAGCTACATGAATAACTTTACAACATTAATATATTATTTGCCTTCTCTCATGGCCACAGAAATAAACCAAAAACAAATGAAGACTTGCTATTTGCAACACAAAGAAACATCAATGTGGACTGAAGTCTCAAATTTTAAATGAAAGGTCATTGGAACCCTCTAACATCTAAGGTACATGTATCACGTTGACATCTAAAACTGTACATTTTTATCTTCAAATGACTTTTTTGTACCAGTGCGTTGGGTGATAAGCTTCTTTAGGTGCTATCTCACAATACGTGATCTGACTAAAGGCAGTGCATGTCTTTAGCATACAAATGTGACAAGAAGAAAAGAGAAATGAGACCCCAGGCGT